TGCTCCTCATTTGGTGAATATAAATTGATTAGTTTTACAACTTCCTGTCCTGTACTGTCCCCTTGACCCATTATGTAGTGTCCATCTATGTCTCTTGTCACCTATTTTAGCTGGTGTCTGTTTTATCTCATATAAGTTGGCTACCTCTGCCTTCTTTTGGGTTGCCATTTGGTTGTAGACTTTGTTTCCAAGCTTTACTTTCAATCTATGGTTTCTCTGGAACTTAGGTGTGTTTCCTGGGGGCAGCAGAAGGTTGGATTCTGTTTTCTAATCTAACCTTCCACTCTGTGTGTATTTATATTGGTGAATTTAGTCCATTAATGCTTAAGGTGAGTATTTCTATGTGGAAATCTGTGACTGTTATTTTGTTCATCATTTTGCGGTTCTCTCAATTCCTTGTTCAGTTTTTCATATTCATTCCTCTGTTGGGTTAGATCCAAAAGCTCCTTGTAATTTACTTGCAGTGGGGAGTTAGGAGTAATGAATCCCTGAAGAATTTGTTTGTCTGGTGGCGCAAGGGGTCAAGGGTCAAGCGTCTGCACTATGACGCTATCAGCAGCCACTGCAGTAAACAAAAAGAAATGTATTGTTAGGCCATGTCGTCATTACCTGAATGTCACAGACTATACTGACACAAACCTAGATGGTTTAGCATATTTCATACCTAGGTTATACTCATGACCTATTGGGACCACTGTCATTTATGCATCCATGCCGTTGCCGACCAAGACAAGGCTAGGGTAATGACGACATGGCCTAACAATACATTTCTTTTTTTTTAAAAATATTTATTTATGCATACAAGAATTGGGGTACAGGCCAGAGGTATAGGGGTGAGAAGATTCAACAGAGACAGAGTGGGAACAGAACAAGCAGATTAACTGAAATACACTGCTGAGGGGAGCAGCGGGCAAGACAGGAGAGGTTTGCTGTGTCATGTGGGTTAACTCCCTGGCCGGGGATCGAACTTGTGCTGCAGTGGCTGCCGATAACTTCATAGTGTAGATGCTTAACCCCTTGCACCACCAGGGAGGCCCCCTAACAATCCATTTCTCAGAACAATATCACCATTGTTGAACAACACATATCACCAGTGTGCCACCCAGTTCTCAACAGCAAAGGATGCTCCCAACTGCTCAGACCACATGTCATGCCTCCCTGCTTCCACTTTAAGCTCAGGTAAAACGTATGTACCCCACACCCCACACTGCTGTCCCTGTCATCCTGCTGTCTCAGGAGCTATCTGCTCCTCCTCCTCAGGCCTCGTGCCTCAGGTTAACCAGCTAACTGGCTTTACCCTTCTTGTCTCAGGCGCTATCTGCTCCTCCTCCTCAGGCCTCGTGCCTCAGGTTAACCAGCTAACTGGCTTTACCCTTCTTGTCTCAGGCCTCATCATCTCAGGAGTCTCCCCTGTGCTCACTCTGGGCTCTTGCCTTTCTAAAGTCTTGCCAAATTATATTGAAATGATCCATCTACAGTTCTGTCTCTCACACTGGACTTGGCCCAGATCCTTTGGCAACAACTATTACTAAAGAATTGATGAATCCAAGTGAGACCACCAGCACCGGGCAAGTTGTGTTTGGTGGATTGGATTATTACAAAATGTGTTATACCCCAAGCCAGGCTTCAAAGACCTTTAATAAACATTGAAAAAAAATCTGCAATGTTTTAATTTCTTATGAAGGATAAGTTCATGTATTCTATAGTTAAAGAACTTTCAAATAAATATAAAATAGTTGTGCACAATGCTGTACTATGCATATAAGAAGTTCTAAGTGAATGGTAATTTTTTCCATCTTTGACTAAGAAGCAGATTAGTGTTTTCTTCTTGTAATTCATACTTAGCTTTAATGTAAAGTTTGTTTTTCAGGACCTTCTAGATTGTCTGACTTATTTAGGGCAATGTATTTTAATGCTGCTTTCTCCCATAATATTGTCTCTTATTTTGCCTCTCTTTGTCAAGTGGGGGGACCTGCACTGATTTCCCAGCACACCTGCCGTGGTTGCATGTACCCCATATCAACAGAGGACTCCAACGTGAAAGAAATCCTGAAGCATGCTATTTCACACTTTAACAACCACAGTGCTCATTCTCACCTCTTTGATCTTGGAAAAGCAAAACATGCTTATAAACAGGTTTGTTCTTTTATTTTTCATTTTGCACATTGTTAAAATTTGTTAGATTTTTATGCTTAGGATTTCATCAACTGAAGCAAACTGTTGACTGAAAAAACACTGGGTTACACAACTGGAGGGAGGCTCTTCTATGTCCTCCTGTGACTAACACAGGCAGCAAACATCTTCTGCTTAGGTCAAAGTGACCAGGAAACTGCAACATGTAAAGGCTCCAAGGTGACTCAGGCTCCCTGCTTGGAGATTTGTTTGGAATGAAAGGGTGGTCAGCATTAGAAGTTCTTTCTAGAGCTGGTGAAAGAAGTCATTCTGGCCTAAAGGTTTTAAGAAAACTCTAACACCATGGGGCCTCCCTGGTGGTGCAAGGGCTTAAGACACAACACTATGAAGCTATCCGCGGCTACTGCAGCACAAGTTCAATCCCCGGCCAGGGAGGTGACCCAAATGGCACAGCAGACCTCTCCTGACTGGCTCGCTGCTCCCCTCAGCAGTGTATTTCAGTCAGTCTGCCTATTCTGTTCCCCACTCTGTCTCTGGTGAATCCTCTCACCCCCTGTACCTCTGGCCTGCACCCCAGTTCTTGTACGTATAAATAAATATTTAAAAAACAACAACAACAACAAAAAAAAGCCCGCCTCTAACACCACCTAGCTATCAAGAGACAAACATGGCTTCAGAATATTAAATTGTACCTAAAAAAAGTTGGCATTGCTTTCTGGGCACCCTCTAAATTAGTTTTTGTATTTCTGGAGGTTGGCGTGCAAGCAAATATCTATAGAACATGCTTTCATTGCCTCAGATCACTAAGCCTTGCTTGACAATTGGCTGGATCCCTTGTAGTTCAACTTTTAATCATGACGACTCAGCTTTGGCTGGCAACATTCCCTGCTTTTGCTCCGCCTTCCAACTTGCCTTCCTGAAGGATACACAAGTGGCTCAATTATGTCTATGTCCAGCTATGACAGCAGGACTGGCCCACATTAAAGCAAGAGAAATGCTATTGCCAGCTAGTCCGAGGAACTGAGGACCCAAAGGTTACTTGAGCTCCAAGTTTTCTTAATCTGCCCAGTACAGCATTGTTAATAATTCACAAAATGCAATAGAAAATGTTTTTCTGCATCCTGGCAGAGTCTTCCATAGTAACTCCAACTATATACTGCTTTTCATTTTCAGATGTATACACATGTTTATGAATGTGTGTGTGTATTGTGATAAGGGTTGTGTGAATCATAAAATGCTTAATATTTACTTAGTAACAACTTTTGTCTATCAATAATTACAATTGATACTTCTTGGGTGTTTATCATATCCCAGGCAGTATCCTAAGCCCCTCTGAAAATTGTTTCAGGTGGTAGCTGGATGGAACTTTGATGTTTCCTACTCAATTCTGCAAACAAATTGTTCCAAGGCAGACTTTCCATTATTAACTCCAGACTGCCAGATCCTTTCCAATGGCGTAAGTAAGCAACAATCTAATTATCTTCTTAGCATTTTATGTCCAGGTTTTTTGGTGTGGGAACTCTGCAGCTGTGTTAGAACTGTGTTAGAACTCTGCCACTAAAATGTTAGATGACACTCACGTTCCCTTGGGAAGGCTCACATCATTGGTCTCTATGCCCTTACCTATGTGGTCAAAGAATCTGCACATCAGCAAAAAGCACTTACAGAGATAACCAGGGACTGAGAATAGCGTGAGACAATGCGATGTCATTGTCAAGTTTGTCTTTCCCCATCTTCACACCTTCCTCCCTCCTTTCCTTCCCCACTTGCTCTGTCCCTCTGTATCTGACATGGCTAAGGCCTAACCCTCCCTGGAGTATTTGCATTTTAACAGAAGACTGTGCTTTAAGCAAAGGGTTGCTGCAAGGCTTTTAACCTGGTAATTCTACTTCTAAATTCCCTTATATGAAAAAGAGAGAGAGATCTGTACTGCAAGATGTTAATTTCAGTGTTATTAGGAAAACATTGGAAATAAATTCCTTCAACATTATGGAATGCCTAAGTATATGACAGTATATCCATACAATAGAAGACAGTCCCACCATCAAAAATTAAGTTTTATGGTTGATTAATTAATCAAAAAATTAAGTTTTGTGACATATTAAAATGGCTATAAGTAAACAAAAAACTGTATACAAAAATATATAGTCATTCAATTATAAAGTAAACTGAGCTAAATCTGAATAATTTGAAAAATAGCATTCATATTATAAAGGTATCAGTGTTTTATTGTATGTCCTCAGTTATTTACACTTTAGTTTTCATTACAATACTACTGACTCACAAATAGTTTTGTTTATAAGTCACCAAATCTATGGATATTTTCCTTCTAAATTCTTCCACCATTTGTTCTGCAGTTAATTTAGTTTTCTTTCTATTTGTCAAAGTTTTCAGAAATAGTTTTAAATTTAATGTGGAATTAATTTTGTTTGAGGGAACCAGCTGATTTTTCCCAAGAGAATACCAGATAGCTCAGTATTCTTCCCTTCCACGCACATTTTGAGATGACATTTCTCCCGTAGTGGTTTCATATGAAAGCTCTGTCCTCTATTTTTGTTCCAAGGCCATCATTTGTTCACAGCCATAGCTTCAAAGTAAATTTAAATATATGACTTATGGGTCTGGTATTTATATCTCCAAAACCAATCTTTCTTGTGACCTAATGTAAAGGTGATTTAAATTATTTTGTGCCCTACCTATAAAAGTATTATAAATTGTATATTATATGAAAGTGCCATTTAAATAAATGTTTATTATCTTATTCAACTCTTTTATAACCGTATTTTTTATCATTGGCCTTCCTTCATTAATAGCATATATAAAATTTTCCTACTGCAATTATTTTTATCCATTTAAACTCACAAAGTTTATAGTTTCTACTTTATTTTGATTCCATACTTCTGGACTGTCTCTTTTAAAAGAATAAATTAATCTTTTCACTACTTTCATGAAATTTTAGCTACCTTGAATTTTATTATTCCCAGTATTAATAGTACTCTGCTCCTTTTTTGTTTGTATTTGCTTTAAGTTTCCTTTATCCTAGTATAAGATATTATTCTTTAAGATATTCTTTTTTAATATCATAGCTTTTATTTTATTGGTTTACAAATGGTTTGCACACTTATAATTTGGGGAGTACCAGTTGACATGTCCCTAGGTGCACATGCCTCACTCACCTGCCACCAAGGCTCCAGTCCCATGTCTGACCCCCTTCCTGTCCCTCAACCCATTACTTCTCCACTCCTGCTCCAGTAGCCAGTACATTTTTCACAGAGCCTATGAATGATGTTGTGCTTCATCATTTTTTTTTCTGTATCTATATTCTGCAAGTGAATGAAACCATCTTTCACTTTCTGACTTATTACACTTTGCACAATCACCTCAAGATCCATCCATTTTGTACCAAAAGGAACTCTCACGGATCATTTCCTTTTTTTTTTCCCCATTTTTTTTATTTTAACATTTATCATTTTTTACATTTTTTTATACAATATTTGCTTCCCCCCACCCCCTCAGTGGGGAGTCCCCATAAAATTTCCTTCCCCAAGGCACCTGTGCACCTTCACCACAGTCCTCTGTGCTCCTCCCTCCCTCCCTCTCACTCCTCTCCTTCCTCCTCCCAGGCAAGATGTCTCTGGTTTATAATTGTCTGTTTTTGCTTTGTTGTGTTTTGTACTGTTATTATAATTTTTTTTACACTGATGTCTTATTTGGTTCCCCTATATTCCTGTTATAAGTGAAACCATCCTATATTTTTCTTTTTCCTTCTGGCTTATTTCACTGAGCATGATTCCTTCTAGCTCCATCCACATTGCTGCAAATGGCATGAGTTTATCTTTTTTGATTGCTGAATAATAGTCCATTGTGTATATATATAACATCTTCTTGATCCAGTCATCTATTTTTGGGCATTTGGGTTGTTTCCAGGTTTTACCTATTGTAAATAGTGCTGCAATAAACATAGGTGCTGGAGACCAGCTCCAGGTAGATGTCGTGTCAGGGATCTCAGAAAGGAGAGGACAGCTTCATTGAAATTTTCTGAAATTTTTGGAGGGCTGAGGGCAAGTGGAATGAGGTAGTAAGGAGACACTGACACTCTCTCTAGTGCAAATATCTCCTGCTGAGGGTCTCAGGGGGTCTTTATTTATACCTTAAGGCAAGCAGTGGGATTACATCAGCATAAGCATTGAAGCAGAGCAAAGACAATCAATGCATATTTTCTCATGAACATGTAGCAGACTTCCTTGGTCTCATACCAAAAGGGCATTTCTTTGGTTACCTCAAAAAACATCAGGAACAATTAGTTACCTAGGTACAGCTAATTTTCTAACATGATCAATTATATAAGACAGCACAACATTTGGCAACGATTAAGCATTCTATTGAATTTTCCTAGTTTCCTAGTGGGCGTAAAAGTTCTATTCTATACTCTATTACTAAAAATCAAATTATCTCCTCAGCACTGAATTACTTCAAAGTGGACTAAAGCAACTCATCAAATCCATGTTAGTTCTACTGAAGTCTAACTCTTAACTAGAGATTCCTAACCTCCACGGGGCCTGCAAACTATTGACCTTTTGCATATGTACTGCTGCCACAAATGAGTACTGCTGCCACAAATGAGTACCCCCTGTGTTAGGCTAAGGTTTCCAAGCACAGCTGGTTCAGGGCGGCTTGTTTCCATAGTTCTCAGGGCCAAAACATTTCTTTCCTAACTATACCTTTAGCAGTTTGTACTTTCTTTGATACTGATTCAAGTGTAAGAACAATAAATCAATTAACGTCTAGGTCCAAATTGGGTTTTCACAAGCCAATTAATAACTAACTTACTTTAGCATTAACCAAGAACAAAGAGGAGAGCATTAGCAGGCATTGCTATGGAGACTCCCTAGTTCAGATCTTGGGAAGTGCAAGAACTCCCTTCTTCTGGGAAGTACAATTTTCCCTCTTCTGGGGAGCACAAGGACTCCCCTCTTCTCTGGGATCTCCCCCAATGCCCTGACCTTGTCAAGAGACAGCATGGGTAGCGCAGCCTGCCGCACATAGGTGTACAGGTGCTCTTTTGAATCGCTGTTTTTGTGTCCTTTGGGTAGGTCCCTAGGAGTGGAATTGCCGGATCCTATGGTAGCTCCATTTTTAGTAGACTGAGGAACCTCCAGACAGCTTTCCACAATGGTTGGTCCAGTTTGCACTCCCACCAGCAATGTAGGAGAGTTCCGTTTTCACCGCATCCTCACCAACACTTGTTGTTGCTTGTTTTTTTGATATGTTCCATTCTTACTGGTGTAAGGTGGTATCTCAGTGTGGTTTTGATTTGCATTTCCCTGATTATAAGGGATGTTGAACATTTATTCATATGCCTGTTGGCCATTTGCTTTTCCTCTTTGGAGAAATGTCTTTAAGTTCTGCCCATTTCTTGACTGGATTGTTTATTTTGTTTTTGTTGAGCCATGTGAGTTCTACATATATCATTGTGATCAGTCACGTATATCATTGTGATCAGTGCAAACATTTTTTCCCAATCAGTGGGTGTCTCTCTGTTTTGGTCCTGAAACCATAAAATATATAGAAGAAAATATAGGTAAAACACTACAAGACATACATCTCAAAAACATCTTTAAAGACTCATCACCCAAAGCAGTGATGGTGAAGGCAAAGATAAACACCTGGGATTACATCAAAGTAAAAAGCTTATGCACAGCAAAAAAGACATTTTTTTAAAAAGATTTATATTTTTGTTTATTTATTTATACAAGCACTGGGTACAGTCAGAAGCGCGGAAGGGTGAGAGAATTCACCAGAGCCAGAGCAGGGAACAGAACAGGCAGACTGGCGAAGTGCAATACTGAGGGGAGCAAAGGGCACCACAGGAGAGGTCTGCACACCATGTGGGACCCTCCCCTGCTGCTGGGGATCAAACCGGCACTGCAGAGGCTGTGGGCAGCTTCGCAGCATCCCAGGGCACAACTGCTGCGCCACCGGGGAGGCCTGTCACAGATCATTTCTATGATTTGCTACAAGATATTTTTCCTAAAGTTAAACAATTGATTTTTTTTAACTTATCTGAAAGTCTTTGCCTTTCTAAATGAAAATGTTGCCATTCATTTATATGGTTATTATTTCTACATTAGATTTTCCTGACATCTTATTTCATATTTCTATGTATATGTATTGATTATTAGTTTTGATGCAATTATATAACTTTCTTATTCTTCTTGAAAACTAGACTTTTTTTTTCCATGCAAAGATTGTAAAGTTAATTTATTAGTAAATTTATTTCACTACTTGTATAAAGTTTCTTAAGAACATTTTTTAACTTATGCACTTGTGTACTTTTTTAAAACCAGGATATTGGTGAATGCTCAGATAAAGCATCCATGGACCTTTCGCAAAGAATTACTTCCCTCATACAGAAGTGTGAGACTTCTCCAGGTATGAGAGAATTCACATTGGTGCTTCAGTAGTGTGTGCTGAGCCACACCACTCTGATCATGTCACAGCAGCTGTGATATGTGCTCCCATCCTATGCCACAAAGTCTGTGTGGCAACAGAGTCTGCTGAGGACACTGTACCTCATCTCAACCCTTCTGACAATAATGAACCCCATCTCTGCCCAGCTGTGTGGCAGCAGGTGGAACTGAGAGTGCTCACTCAGGGGTCCATAAGGGATATTGTGCCACAAGGGGAACTTTCTGTCTCTGAGCCTGCTGGGCCACCTTGTTACGAGATATCCGTAAGCCCTGTGATATTCAGTTAAGTAAAGCTGACCACATTTTTAACTGCTCAGAATAAAATCCTCTCAATTAAAGTTTTTTTTCCCCTCTCTCTCCATGTTATAATCAGGAAAATGGTTGAGTTTATGATCAAGTCAGTATTTCTATACCAAGAGCTGGCTTTTATCCCACCTGCAAGATAGTTGTATGGACTCCACAGTAAGTAGCATTCCTGAAGCTGCCAGCTCACCAGGAACAAAGGACTTAAAATTTTCCCATTAGAGTGATCCCTTTAAGTTAAGAATTGCCTTTGACAATCTCCAACAAAAATATGTAAGTTATGAAAAGCACACCATTTTGGTTGAGGCATTAAGACCTTCTGATTGGCTGATTCCCTAAATACCCTGGGGTCAGAGGAGAGAAGTAAGAGGAAAAGCAGCAGGCAAAGGCCAGAAAGTCAGCCTCCACCTACTCACCCCTTGGGCAGCCACACGACCCTCTGTAAATGGATACTGGATCATGAATGAGAAAGGTGCAAGGCTAGATTGCTCCTTCTGTGTATACACTTACTTAAAACCTGATTCTTTCAGCGCTGAATTTTCCTCCCTTGACGTGTAAAGGCTGTCCCAGAGAGATCTCTGCCAACAGCCCAGAATTGAAAAAGGTTCTGAATCTTTCCATCAAAAAGCTGAACGCAGAAAATAATGAAACTTTCTATTTCAAGATTGACAATGTGAAAAAAGCCACAGCCCAGGTCTGTTAATTATGCTACAAATGAAGTTAATATTGCAGTTTGTGTGCAAATTGCTTACTAATTGTGTGAAGATCTTGATTCTGGATTGGGAAATAATAGAGCTGATTAATGAAATTTGAAAGATTTGAAGTTCACATCATAGTATTACTGCAAGCTTGGTGTGTGATCCTGAATAAGTGACTCTCCATTTTCTATCTGTAAAGTCTGCGGTGATGATCAAATAAGGGATGTGTGTTCATCACTTTTTAAACTCTCAAGTGCTATATAAATACTAGTAGCTGTTACATGATTAATCAAATTCAGGGCTAGAAAAAGGAAGACTTATTTTATGCCTTTCTAGATTCATCTCTCATTGTACCATACTTAGCACCCTGAGCTCAGTCACAACAGTGAGTTGTTATTACCCAGACTCTTCACATTTTCATATCCATGTCACTTTTCCCCAATCTCCCTGTCTGGGGTAACCTCTGGGATGTCCTCTGTCTTCCACACCTGTCAGCAGAGGATAAGGAGAGCCCTGGTCTGGGGCTCAGGACACCCAGCTCTATCAGTTATCTAACCACTCACATCCTGGATGCCCCGGGACTGTCCTTCAGGTTCACACAGCCTTAGTCGTCCCATCTGTAGCAGAAGTGGCTGGTTGAGTGGAGCCCAAGTCCCTTCCAGCTCCAGCAGCCTAATGTGATGTGGGCAGATTACTATTATAGAACCTCAAAATTGGTTTCCTTAAATACAGGCTTGAAAAAAAGTAATCAAAATAGAACCAGCTTTTAGACCAAACCAACATTATCTTTATCTTTATAATTGGAACAAAAAAATCTTACTAAAAAATTTCATGCTTCTGACTCAGGGTGTCTAGAATTCTAAAATAGGAGTTTTTAATCTTTCTCTCTCTCTTTCTCTCTCTTTCTTTCTCTCTGTCTCTGTCTCTCTCTCTCTCACACACACACACAAACTTAAATCCTGCACCAAGTGCTCAATAACTTGGTGTAGAATTGGGTAATATCAGCTAACTTTAAAAATTATAATTTCAAAATATTTTATCGAATGCCTTTTTCAAGTATGTAAGAGATGGAGGAATACCATTATTAAATGTTGAAAATATCACAGTTGTGATTTTGTTGAAATCAGAGTATTTTTAAAACACAATGAGTTTAATTTCTACAATAAATAAATTGTGTGCTTCTTTAAGGCCCTCCAAAACAGAAGAAAAGAACTTGGACCACACATATTGCTTGATGGAAAACACCATTGTATAATGATTTAAACTATCACTGGCAAAGGAAATAGTTTTCTAATATAAAAAAATTTGAGGAGAAGCAAAACTGAAAACCCAAAGAATTTTCCTAATCATGTCATTTAATTAACATAATATCCATAGTGAGACTAAGTGTTTTTCTGATTATTTTGCAAGACAAGTCATGTATAGAGAAAATGTTTAAAGTTTTTCTTCCTACTCCTTTTAGATTCCAGTACAACCTGAACCTTGAATTACCTGTGAATTTTGTAGTTGTTGAACAATGAAACTCAGAAAATTATTAACATTACATCCTGCTCTTCTTTTCCCATTGGGAAAAGAAATAGGACCAGCCAATAGTAAAATATTTCACACATGCATATAAGCCAGAGGTTTTGCTGTCAGACATTTGAATGATTTGTTATAGTTCCTAATTAGCATGTAATCAAAATGTCAGTGTTCTCTCTTTTTAGTCCTTAGAGTAGAAGCAGATGTTTGATACAATTTTATTTAAGCTGTATACCTACGTTATGCTAATTAATTTTCCAGCTGGTGGAAGGAATGATCTACAGAATAGAATTCATGGCCAGGGAAACCACATGTTCTAAGGAAAGTAATACAGAGTTCACCAGTAGTTGTGAGACCAAGGAACCAGGGGTAAGCAGTAATGCAATTGTCTACTTATTTCCTGGAAGCTTATTTGATGTTTCAAACTTGGTTAAGTATCTCATGAATTACAGTGTTTTCTCTTTTGGCCTCTATTTTCTTGATAGAAAGCTCTAATCTGTAATGCTAATGTTTACATGATACCTTGGATGAACGAAACTACAACGACTGTCAAGTGTGATCCAAACACAGAGGTATGATTCTATTTATAGTCATCTTGGGTTCATCTTGGCTCATTCGAAAAAGTCATATTTGGGGGTTTAACCTAAACTCTTAATGAAATGAATTGGGTCATTATTTTTTACAAATGGGAAGAAATCTCATGTTTCTCTGTTTACTCTCTTTTGTGGCTGGAAATGAGAACAGCAGTCCTCTTAATATTTCCCACACATTGCCAGTGTCCAGGGCGAGATAGATTCTCTCCTCGTACAGTGCAGACCCTGCTGTGGGGTGCTAACATAGCTGCACATCTTCCTGTGGTGCCTGAGGTGAGGCACAGGACTCCACTGCCCTCTGTTTGTAATTAAGCAGCTTGGGAGAATTGCAGATCTCAGCCCCCATACTGCATCTTCTGAGTCAAAACCTGCATTTGACACCATCCCCAGGGGATCATACCTATACTCAAGTATAAAAAGCATTATTTTTCATCACTTTTTATTATTTTTAATAGAATTCTGTGAGGTGAGTAGTATTTCCCCATTCTTAAGACACTAAAAATTAGAAAGATCTGAGCTCCTACAGTAAATAATGACATTACCAAGTGCATCTTCAGTCCTAGGCTCTGGCCTGAGGATTTCAAATACATTTTCCTCCTGAAAACTCTACAAGAAAGATGCTGTTATTGTTAATGTGCAATTGGAAAAAGTGAAGTTAGTGGTGCTTGGATTCAAATCCAGATCAAACCAGGCTCCACCCTGGTTGCCACGATGCCCACGACTACAGGGTCCAACTTGTTTGACTCCAAAGACTGTGCTCTTTACACCACTGAACCCTGCCTTAAACACCACACAGGTAGTAACAGTATAAGGATAAATAATCCACAAATCCATATCTTCAATACAAATTGCCTCTTTTTACTTTTTGCTGATTTAGGTTTTTTGCTCTGTGTAGGTTATACATAGTCTAACATCAGCAATATAGTTCAAAGACTGCATGGTAAGCTTGTGGACGTGTTTTGAAGTGTTCATGCCAACAAAGTACTTGTGGATATGTGATACCTATATATTCAACTCATGAAGTCAGTTAGGGCCTTTCAGGATGAAAGCAGTAATTTTGGCAATAGAAATTGTATCAATTAATAATGTGTTGCAGATTTATATAATAAGAGGCTTGGAAGTTACCCTGATATTATATATTTTTTTCCAGATGAAATAAAGACTCCCCAGCTTGCTTTAGTATATTATTAAAAACAGTAATTAATGTCTACAAATTAAAGTTAATCAGAAGAGGAAAAGATATTATTCATCCCATACTGTCCAGAATAAAAATACAGTATTTAAAATCGGCAAAGACATGCACCCTGTAACTGAGTTAGCCTTGCCTGGTCTTTGTCCCTTCTTTCTTCATTGACAGTGTGGTTTTCAGAGTAACGCATTCATCTTAATATTTCTGTTTAGATTAAGTTGATGAAAAGGCCTCCAGGTTTTTCACCTTTTCGATTGCTGGTGATGATGGATGAAAGAAAAGAAACAACTGTAAGTTCACCCCACACTTCCATGAAACCTGTACAAGATGAAGATCAGTATTCAGGAAAAAAGCCAAGAACACACTCGTGGGCATGGCAGGGCCCATAAAGAACAAATAAAACATGGCCTTGGTCATGGCCATAAACATGAGCATGACCAAGGCAATGGGCACATAAGGGATCATGGCTTTGGTGTTGAACATCAAAGGGGTCATGGCCAAACCCATGGGCATAAACATGAACATGGTCATGGCCATGGAAAACACAAAAATAAAAACAAAAGCAATGGAAAGCACAAAGGAAGGAAAACAGAGCATTTGGCAACCTCTTCTGAAGACAGCACTACACCCTCTACACAGACACAAGACAGAAGGGCCAACGCCCACACCTTCCCTAGCCCAGCCAGGGGTAGCAGTCACCTTTGCTGACTTTCAGGACTCAGATCTCTTTGCAGCATTGATGCCTAATCCATCACCAGCTCCCACGGAGAGTGATGATGATTGGCTCCCTAACATCCAGGTACAACCTGATAGCTTTTCCTTTAGCCTGATATCTGATTTCCAGAAACACTTCTCCCAAATGTCCTGGGTGCCCCTGGAAGCCAGTTAATGGAATGATCCAGCTGTGGAAATGAAAGAATTTCATGATTTTGATCTCTCTGATGCACTCTATAATTAATGCTGCCATGGGTATTTCTTTTGCACTTTATCACCTTCTTCCTCCATTGTCCCAATATCCTGATATGATGCACCAAACCCATAAAATTTCAAACAGCCTAGTGATATTTACAATGGTGACACTTGATCTCTATAGACAACGCAAAACTGAAAGCTAAGTCCTTTCTGAGTCTGCCTCACACATTTTCCTACTGTCACAGAAAATGGACAAATGAATATGCCTTATGGTCTGTTTTCTTTTCTGATAACAAACCTATACCTTAAAAGGAACGTCACTGATTTTGACAATCTAAATAAACTGGCATCTAGTCCCTGAACACATGAGAAAATAAAAGAAGTCAAGAGACTGAATGGTGAACTTACTGGGTAAATAATAATAATCTCCAAAAGTCAAAGAAGAACAATTGAAAGAGAGACTGGTCAGAGGGAGGAAAATGGGAAGTCAATGAATTGCCATCTGTTTTTAAAATGACCTATATTATTTTTATTTATTTTATTATATTTTTACATCATTGTTCATTTTTAAACAATATTCCCCCCCACCCCCTCATGTGTAGTCCCCATAGAATTTCCTTCACCAATGCAGTCATTCACCATCACCATATCCCCAGTGCTCCTCCCTCCCTCTGACCCCTCTCCCTTCTCCACCCTTGCAGGATGTCTCTGATTTATAATTGTCTGTTTTTTTGTTGTGTTTTGTACTGTTATTATTTTTTTACACTGGTGTCTTATTTGGTTCCCCTAAATTCCTATATCTGAAACCATCCAATATTTTTCTTTTTCCTTGTGACTTATTTCACTGAGCATAATTCCTTCTAACTACATCCATGTTGCTGTGAATGGCATCAGTTTATCTTTTTTGAATGCTGAGTAATATTCCATTGTGTGTATATACCACATCTTCTTGATCCACTCATCTATTTTTGGGCATTTGGGTTCTTTCCACATTGTACCTATTATAAATAGTGCTGCAATAAACATAGGGGTACTGGTATTCTTTTGAATCAATGTTTTTGTGTCCTTTGGGTAGATCCCTAGGAGTGGAATTGCTGGGTCCTATGGTAGCTCCTAAAATGGGCTATTTTATACCATATAATTACTCCCACTTGACAAAGCTAATATTATAATCCTCTTTCTCAGTAAGAGTGTTTCTCATAAGTCAACAGTTTCTGTTTATTCATTAACTATTCTTTGCAACAGACTCAGAGTTTTCTGTTTTTGCTGAGGCTAGAATGAGTAATCCTTCGTTTTCAACAGATCTGAGTTTAATGAAAAATATGAAAACAGAGGAAGAAATATAGAGGCAGATTTGCTAAGAAATTCCCCTTTTTTAATAATCAGTAAAGGAATATCACAAGATGTGATACAAATTGTTCCGGGACAAAATGAAGAAACAAAATGAGGAAATGCCTCCATGACCTTACTTTATAATCACATCATCTTTTTGCTACTAAAATTCCATTGCCTTATCATGAGAAGGAGACGTACAGTTTATAACCTGTACTGTGATGTTGCCTGGAGAAACAAGAGAGGGCTTTCGACGCTACATTCACCTGTGCGTGTGTGCACCACTGCCATCACTTTATTGCATGCTTCTGAGCCTGAGTTTAAAATCTTTTCAAATATTATCTGTGTTTGTAAATAAAGAACCAGTTTTTATTGGTTCTTAAAGTCTCACCTTGTCAACTACGTTTTTCTTTCATTGAATGCTAACATCAGATTAACAGAGTTCTGCTATATTTACAGGGGCTCCAAAAGTCCTGCGAGTACCAGGTCCATCCTCGGGAGGCAGGGCCTGGAGCAGCTCCTAAGAATGAGGTAGCGCCCCCACAGCAGGCACAGTAGCCCCACCAGCCCCTCTCAGCAGCCCCGAGTGCACAGACAAGAAGATGAGATGGAGTTTAAAGAGAGAAGAATGTCATTTCATCACTCTGTTGCTGAACCAAATAAACTTCTGTGTTGATAGTCTCAGTCCTGATTAATTCACAGTGGTTTCCTTCAACCACACCTCCTGCAACAGTCAGGCGATGGAGTGCCATGGCTGGCGCTACCGGGACTCAGAGCTTGCTTCTGAAGCACCCTTGCTGACCAAGGCAAGAATCCCATAGATATTGTATTTTTCCCATGGCAAAGGTAGGAGAACACATCTAGGTATCATTCACATGCAAAATACATAAAATAATTTGTTATGTATTGGGTAGTAGGCATAGAGTTGGCTTATAATTAACTTTTTATTCATGTATTATAGCATAATATGAGACCCATTGCTTTTAACTTCATTTTAAGGAAGTCTTAACTCTTCAAATGGAAGCTATACTGTTATAAGCAATCATTTTATCATTATTGTAGATTTATTAATCTTTTTTACCTGGCCATTTTGTAACTATTAGGGTGGTATCAATTTGCCTATCACTACTTTTTCATTATAAAATTAAGGGGAATAGCAGGTTACTCAACGGATATTAAATTTTCGTTATTCTCATGCAAAATATTTTGATTTTATATTAGACAACAATAAACATACAGCTGAAACATTTATTAAAATGTACTTTCCAGAGGCAGGGATGGATGATACATAATGATTAAGGGAACAATACATAAGGAAACATAATACTCTTCAATTTATACACATCAAATAAGGAACATAATATATCAGGTAATTACTATCAAACATGAATACAGACACCGGGAAAAACACATTAGTGGCTGGAGACTTCACTTTTCCCAATGGAAGACTCAGCCACACGGTAAATAAGGACACAATAACCTTAAACAAAGACTTACACTGCATAGGAAGGGCAGGGTGGGCGGCACAGGACACCAGATCAGACAGCAATGGAGGCAGCAGCACCGGAGGTGGTACCAGGAGGTCAGGAGCTGTTAACAGCCCTCAGAGGTGACCTGGACACAGAGCGCTGGTCACTCTCAACAATAGGTCACCACTGGTCACTAGGAGGCAGCAGTGTCAGAAACACCATCTTAACATCTCTTTGTAAGTTGTTGGCCCATCGCAACAACAAACAGCTCTTTAGGACACCGGGCCAGGCATTTGGTGTTCTTTCAGGTGATGTCAGAGACAGGCTAGAGGCAGGTGCCGCCGCCCAGCTGCTGGGAAGCTCTTTGGGTTCTCTGCAAGGCTTTCAGCATCGCTTCTTTCTGAGGTCAGCTGCTTGTTCTTTCTTCTTCAGAGGTTAGGGACAGATTCTTCTGTGAGAGTCCGAGTGTCTGAGCATCCCAAGTTATCTCCTGCACTGACTTATATTCTCTTCCTGGGTTCTCCACCCCTTCCCCCCAATCTGATTGGAGTGTTTTCCACTTTATGGCTGATTGAACCATTCCCCAATCAGCTCATAGCATACACCTTACGGTTCCATGATATGATCCAGGCACTAAATCCATGGGCCTCTCTACTCCTGACAGCTGGAGCCAAGGCATTGGGGCTGGCCCCATGGGGGTCTGTGTCCCTCCCTGCAGTCTCCCTGCAGCTACACGCCCTGGGGCGGTGTGGTAGGGGAACCACTGCCAGCCACCATCACTGCCCACCTCTGCCTGTAGCCTGAGCCCCAGTGGGGTCACTGGTGACTGGTGGAAAAATGCCCACCACCCACAGCCGCTTGCAGTGCCCACAACAGCTTCTGGGGCCAGCCACTGGTCTTGCCCTGCACAAGCTATGAGACTCTGGCTTCAAAGTCACTCTCAGAAAGTGCGTAGTTCTAAACCTGACTTCACAGATAGGAAAACTGGGCTTCAGAGTGCTTATGCCACTCACATTTCATCACACGGCTAAGGGTAGAACCATGACATCTGGGTCTGCTTTCCTCTCCCATCAGGGTCAGTCATCATTTAATCCATTTTGAATTGTTTATTATAGTTCTGCTTTTATGTATATCTGTATATCTATCTATCTATCTATCTCTCTATATATAGAAATACATATTCTTACATTGTTAATTTTTGCACAGTATTTGATTTCTACCCTCAGGTGTAGTCCCGAGTTCTTGGGAGTCCTGCTTTTCATTCTAGCTGGAGTAATGCTCCTTCAGCGTGCACACCTGATGCGCTTCCTCAGGCCTCACACCTTTCTTCCCCTCCCCATGCCTGTGGTCTCATCTTTCCAGCCTCTTATCATACAAAGCACAAGACCTGTGAATGATTGTTCACTCACCGGTTGAAGCTAACTCTTTGTTGTGTGCAGAATTTGAACATAGAGTGTCCATAACCACTGTCATTGTGGATAAAAGAAAATGCCCAATGCCCAGCTGGAGGGAGCTCAGGTCATTAGCTATGGGTTGGTTAATCAAGCCTTGAAAACAATTTGTGTCTGGAGTTATTTAAGAGCTGTAGATTAGCAATCTAACTAGATTTATTGCCCCTTGATTTCAGAGAACCTAACAATTCCTAGCATTGTGGAGTTGCACAATAAGGTTTGTTGAGTTTCCAACAATTATCGTAATATTCTTGTAGCACAGCTGTCACTGTGTGACACGTGTGGGTCTGGCCCTCCCTGAACAGAATCTCCTATGAGGAAGGTGCTATGATATGATAAACCCATTTTACAGATCTAGATACTGAGGCTTATAGTAGTTATGTGACTTTCCAAGTACTTTTGTGGATAATTGAAGAGTTACAATCAGGCTAGAGGTTTAATATTTGGTCTGATGAACAGCGTTAACACGAGCAGATTTCTGTCCTGGTTCTGTAACTATTTCATTCATGATTTTTATTTAGACATGCTTCCTTTCCACCCTCAGTTTTCTCACCTAGGAAATGGGCCACTTGGATTTATTAAACTACATTCAGAGGTGATTGACTAATTTACCTTTAAGACAATTATCACCAGTAATTTACAACACTGTGATTGGGTTTTCAAGAGCAGGTTTATCAAATTGTTATAGGGCAGCCCCGATATTGAACGGGTTGCCTGGCTGTGGGTCCTCACCCGCGTGCTTAAAAGGGACTTATTAATACTCCACTGCAGGCATAAACAAAAGGTTAATACAAGGTTTATTTACAAGGGAAAAGGAAAGAAGGAAAATGTACAACTCAGGGAGAAAATAGGGAAATAAAGTCTTTAATGTGTCCTATCCGATCCGCGAACTGGAAACCCAAAAAGCAGTCTCCGAGCTGGCCAGACGCTGTGAGCTGGCGGAGTGTCAAAATGGGAGATCCCTCCAAAGCCCCCGTGTCTGGCTTTATACCAACCTGGCTGCTTAACCCCACCCTCAGGTCCAAGCCACCTTCCCTTTGGTGGTGATGGGATTTGGAGTTCCCAGTGTCTTTGGCTTTGGCCTGGGGTGGGGGTGGAGTCCACAAAGCCTGTATGGAATTAGCTTTAGGACATCCTTTTCCCCCTAACAGTTTATTATGGAAAACCTCAATGAGAATGATCCCTACTTATCTGCTAGTGCAGCAATTCCAATACTGTGTTTTATGGTTCATGGCAAATACCTAGTTTATAGTCAAGTAAATGTAGGAAATGGTGGTCTAAAATAGGTTTCTTCCCCTCAAGGCATCTGAGATGATACCTTTAACGTGCGAATGAATGAGAAACCATCCTAGATCCTGCTTCTGTGGGTGCAGCAAGGGCTATACTTACCTAAGCAAAGACCACTGGGGACAGGGGTGGGAGGAAGTATGAAGTGGGGGGCGCAGGACACAGATCCATGGACTACACTTCCATGATATTCCAATCTAGATGCTTCACTCCATTTCTGACTCTTTTCTCAAGCAGTGTGAAAACACTTGTAACCGCAACAGGGTGGTCCCCAAGAAAGGGAGAGCTTTCAAGTTTCTGCCCCACCCAAGGGAGGGTGGAGCTGAGCAGAGAAAGAAGAAGCTGCATAGGAGACTGAGGAAGGAAGGAAGCAGGATGGAGCCAGAAGCAGACCTGAAGGAGGCACATGGAGCCGAGAGACAAGTGAAGAAACTACACTTGCCTTTTGGTGGTGGACTGATTAAAACAGATGTGGGTGAGACACCGTGGGGAGGTGACAATGGCGGGTTTTGTCTTGATTTTGATTTTGCTCTTTTCCCTCCAGACTGGTCTGCTTGTTTCTGATACTTTTCTGTGCGTCCCCACTGGAAGGTGCTTTTGACTTATGACAGGCTTTGGGGCCTTGCTCTGGGCCAATCCTGCTTGGGTGGACTTTTACCCACGAGGGGATGGGTAACTTTGGGTGCTTGATTTAGAAACTATATTCTTTGCCTTTCCTGTATTGTTTCCTAATTGTATTAAAGTTCCTTCCCATTAAAGTCTCATATGTTTTGTGTTGATGTGGCTGATGGCAGAACCTATTTAAAGCAGGCAGGTTTGCGGGGTCTGGGATGCAACTCACCCTGCCCTGTAACATAACCACTGGCACCAGGGCCCCAAGCTGTTTCATGTCTGAGCGTGGCTGAGGATTTCAGCTGGAGGGAGGTGCAAGGGGCCAGGGAGGGTGTGGGAATCCTGCATATTCTGATGCAGGTGGATCCCTGGACACAGCAGAATCCAATCACCACCAAGGAGACTTGACACAGGTGTTTATTATGATTTCATGGGCAAATATTAAAAAACTTAAATTTGTTTGCACACACACGCACACACACATACACACACGATTAGGTTAGGTAGGATTGATGGGGAGATCTAAAGTTAGAAATACTGGCAAAACCATCCAATACTGACTTAGAAATATAAAATTTAAAATTCAAACTCTGGTCACCAGATTGGACTCAAATTACGAAACTGTTTGACTTGACCTTTGAAAGCCTTATAAATAGCTCGTCCTTAGAGCTGCCTGCACTGCCGCCTTCTGGGATCTGCTACCCACAGAATGGGTCTGCTCCTGCCCCTGGTGCTCTGCACCCTGGCTGTGGGCTCTGGGGCTACATCTCCACCCCAGCAAGTCTTCAACCCATCGCCTTTACTCTCCCGGGGCTGCAATGACTCAGATGTGCTGTCATTTGCTAATTTTGTCCTGAGGGACATCAACAGGGACCGCAAGGATGGCTACGTGCTAAGCCTCAACCGAGTGAGCGACGTCCGTGAACACAGACAGGCAAGTGATGGTCCCCTACCCGGGCAGGTGCTCGCTGGGCTGGCCAGGGCTGGGGACCAGGGACACATGTTGCCGGTGCTTTCCAAACTGGAAGCTGCTAAACAGCTCTGCTCTCCTCTGCCAGAGTGTCTGCAATGCTCTCACTGTCACTAGAGACAAAGCTAATCGCTACCCCTGTCTAGTATTGCAGATGTGATGAGAAGTTTTGACAGGCATCTTAGCCTTGACTCTGCTATAAAACAGAGACATCAGTGGCCAGTCTGTAGGGGTTGCTGCTCATGTGGGATGTGGTTGCTTTCTCCACCTCTGCCTACAGGACGGACCAGCAGCTGTGTACTATCTCACCCTAGACGTGTTAGAGACTGACTGCCACGTGCTCAGCAGGAAACCTTGGAAGAACTGTGGAGGGAGATCACTGCATGAATTAGTAAGTGCTTGTGTCCAGGGGCTCAGGGGAGAAAAGAGGTGTCCTCTGTGTATGGGATGAAGGTTGTTAGGGGTAATCATCTTTTTAAATGCCACTCTTTATAATCACCTGAACATGGTGCCTTGTGCTCATTCTAGTTCTATAAAAAAAATGGTTTAACTCATTTTCTGAGGGGTTTCTGAGGGTCCCTTTGGAATTATGAAACCCAGAATGAAAAGTGGCATCCTGTAGATGCTAAGCCACTGTTTAACTTGTGAGATAAAGTTCCGAGGTGAAGTCCTCTGTTGTGTGTTTAAGGAAAACTGTTGGGTGATTGAGGGAGATGGATGGATTTGCCAGAATCAATAACACTGGATGGATTTGCCAGAATCAAATAACCTAAAGATTTAAAGGCCTTCAGAATTAATCATTTTAATGATGACCATGGGAGAGGCTTAAAAATAGAAGTCAGTTTATTCTCAACATGCTGAGCTTATTTCCATTTGTCAATAGAAAGCTTATAATATGAGTGCAGGATCACGTTAACAAGGAAGTTATTGGATCTAGATACATTTTCTAATTATTTATTCAATTTGTCAAACTGTACCCACCTGATTTTGATAAGCAAATAATCTATTTACCCTGCTGGAAATTGTATACTTGTTAAGGTCGCACTAGCTGTGATAACAATAGACTTAAAATTGTATACTGAGTCCAACATGACAGAAGTTTGTATCTTTTTCATGTGAAATTCAAAATAGAAATGTGTGATCAAGAAGTCGTTTTCTCCAGGAGTGATTAGGGGACCTGAGGTCCTTCTGCTTTGTGGCTGTGACTCTGCCACCTCCTACTCCAGGCTTCTGGGGTCACCAGCACATTTGCCTCAGCTCTGGCAAGAGAACCAGCAGCAGGAGGGCAGATGGCTCAGGGGAGGTCTTCATGGGCCCGACCTGGCAGTGGTTACAGTCACTTCCGCTCACCTTCCTGTGTTACAACTCAGTTGTGCCCAGTCACGTGGGACCAGGAAGGAGCATGGGGAATGAGGTCTGGCTGTGCCCCAGAAGTAGGTTAAACTGCTTGATAATCAGCTGGTGGTTTCCCACAGTCAAAGCCACCAGAATAGTCCTCCAGCTTTTCACAACTTAAAAATAAAATGTTCAATTTGGATTTTGTTTTTTTTAAGTCTTAGACTCTTCTTCCATGTCATAAAGTAAATGTGTTTGTTCTAGGTTTATGGTCAATGCAAAGCATTATTTTATATGCACAAGACAGCAAGAATCCTCCATACACTTTCTTATAACTGTACTCTTCGCCCAGGTAAAATGTTGCTTTGGTTTTGTTCATTTTAGTAAAAGATGAGTAAGAAGCATTTAAGCAGGGCAATGCCCACATGTGCAAGGTTTTCTTTTCTTTGCTATCATCATTCCAAGACCATGTTTCCACTGCATCCAATACTGGCACTTCCCGCTTCCACAAGTCACCTGCAATAATTGCTCAGCATTGGGTACTATATGAATCCTAACTCACTGTTAAGTTACAAATGTCATAATTTCTATGTCTGGTGCCCAGGTGCCCTTTCTTGCCTGTTTGCAGATATTCTGACTCCACCGCTCTGCACTCCACCAGGCTGGATGCCCCCCTGTTTTCTGAACACAGCTAATATTTTCCAGCCTGTGCTTCTTACTCATTTGGCTCCCTCTGCTCAGGATGCCTCCCCTGATAGCCTCTGATTTGGAATTCATATCCATTCTCTGAGGACCATTGACACAGATGCTTCTTCCACAATGTTCTCTGTTCAAGAAATGACTGAAATGACTGGTGCTGTCCTTTCTACATCCCTGTAAAACTTTAATTAGGCCACCCCTGGAGCTCACACCATGCACTGCCTTGATTTGGGGGTCTTTAGTCATCTATCATGGAAACCTTTCATCTCTTCTTGCTGCCTGTTACAACCCTCCCTTATTTCTGTCATATGTATGTCGTCCATTATGATGTCTAAAAAACAAATGTCCTAAGATAATGCTAAAAGTCATGATTTTTGAAATATGTAAGAACATGCATTCTGGATCCTGCTTGAATAAGCATCAGTCAGGACCTGGGATATAGGATATGGCCACTTATCAAGCTATTATGTACATAGGATACTCCTCGCCAATTATATTCCATGGCAATTTCTGATTCCCTAAGTCTGGGGTGGGACTTGAGATTCTGTATTTCTAACAAGCTCCAGGTAATAACTGTGTTGCATTTTTCTTGAGGGAGAATGCAACAGAGCAAATATATTACTTACCATCAGTTAAGGTTCCTGAGTATAAAGATGGGACTTGCCTAATATAAATTAAATAACAACCATTAATCAGAATCAGGACTTAAATAATTTAGTCAGAATTGACCCCAGAATGGTGCCAAGAGTGATAAGCTGGACATAACTACTCCTTAATCTAAATCACCCCAAACTCCAGCACAATAAATATGCAAATAACTAATACAATTGTCTAATAACAGTTGTCTGACTATATATACTCTAGAAAATGAACTTCAGTCAAGTCTCTGATCAATTTTCTCACTAGATTTGCCACCCCCTTCTGCTTCCAGTCAGAAATTCTGACTGTACCACTAGTGTGATAATTCTGTCCAGTCACAGACTGACCTAATCAATTTTTGTTTTCTGACTCATTTGCATTTTCTAACCAAACACCTTCTGCCTCCACCTTCAGTTGGGTTATTTCTTCTATCAATCAACAAATATTTGCTAAGAATTATCATGCATTAGATATTACGTTTGATGATAGGGACTTAAAGGTAAAAAAACCGTGATGGTAATGAAATCTCAAACTTTTAAGACACCCAGACTCCCTTACAGAGGCAATGCTTCTGGACGATATTGAACCCACTGGAAGTGAAGTCTTTAAATCAATATAAACATGAGTTTTCAGCAATATCCCATCACATACATAAACCAATGTGTGAGAGGGAAAAAAACTTACTTTGATTTTACTTTAATTATCAAAGTAATACATTCTATTGCACAAAACTCACTGCTGACAGCTTTCTATTCAGAGAATGCCATTCATTCCATCCTTGATGAAACTCTGCATTATCATTTTTTACTTACAATGTCTGTCTCTGTTGTGGTCATACAAAATTGGGATTAAAAATCATAAAGGATCTTTGTGGCTCAAGTATTTTTGTCATCAACAGTTTCTCGAAGAAGCATTCACCAAATCTGCCCCAACTGCCCCAGCCCCATTGATTTATCAGATTCCAAGGTCTTGGAAGCTGCCACTGAGTCTCTTGCAAAATACAACCGCGAGAGCGCCTCAAAGCAGTATTCTCTGGTCAAAGTCACCAGGGCTTCTAGCCAGGTGAGACTGAACACCCCTGGCGTTACACCAACAGTGAGTCTCCCACGTGTAGCCATGGAGCCAGAGCTGAGAGGGGGCTGTCAGGGCTGTCTTTTGATAAGCAACCTCCTGGTTCTTGGGATACCTGATGCCCGCACAATCGTGGGATTTGCACAAGTGTGTGACTCCTTTATTTTATTGGCCTTAAGGCAAGGAGGGAAATGTGAAACCCAGTCTCTGGTTTCTCTACTTGGGGTCACTGTTTATTGCTACATTTCAGGTCTAAGTGACCGAGGGCCATTCAACAAGTCAGCTTCTGGTCATGTCAGGGTTGGGAGTGGATGCTGAGGGAAATGGAGGCTCAATTGTATTTGCTTTATGTTGCTATCTATCAAAGTGAGGAAAACTAATCTAAAAATAAATTTACCTGAGGAAAAATGAGGTCACCCAAGTGAAGGCTTTTTAGAGCCTGTTCATACCTGAGAAGAGGAGGGAGGTGTGGTGGTTATTTTCTACATATCAGAATCCTATTGCATGCTTTGTTCATGTTGGGTTTACAGGGACACTGGGATACCTGTGCTAACCCCAACTTGGGGGTGTACGTTTCTGTAAATATCATGCTGTCAAATCAACATTTCCTCACTTGGAAAGTCTGATTTTTATTTCTCAACTATTGTCTCATCCAGTGGGTGGCTGGACCTTCATGCTTTGTGGAATATTTAATCAAAGAGGCACCTTCTACCAAATCCCAGGCCAGCAGCTGCACGCATCAGTCTCCTGACTCAGAGGTGAGTATCTCTGAATTTCCTCAGAATTTAAGATTTGTGTTCACAGATGAGAAATATTTAGTAAGCATATTTATTTTTTATTCTAAATTATACGTGAGGTTTTCTAATGCATGAGATGCTTTTGTTCAGCTCAAGGTGCAATTGACTAATAGAAATTGTGCTGGCCCACCTGCACTGATAAGATATTATTTGGTTACAAGTGCATCCCATCAGCAAAGTGATGACACTGTAAAAATGATCACAGAAGGCTGTAAAGTGTAGATGAATCTCCTCAATGATTGTCCTTAGCTGGACAAATCCAGTTATTTTTGGAATCCATCTTGGTGTTCCTTTCCCTGGACTACTCCCTCAGAAGGAGCAAGTGAACACAAGTCTTCATTGACAGAAAGTATCCAGGTGAGGAGGGAGCCTTGAATCCATGGGAACTCCCACACCTGCTGGGAATGTCAGTGGCACCCTGTTTTGTAGTATAGTTGGGAAAATTGCATCAAAAGTTCTGTTTTGTTTTTAGTCAAGATTATTTGGGATATGATTGATCATTAGCATTTTCACAATAATGTTGAATTCAACTTGGCAGTTTCATTCCTAAAAAGGCAGTTGGAAATTTCATAGGAGTATAAATTAATTTTTGGTTTCTTTATTGCAGATGTGTAGAAATACTATTGCTCTCTGTATATTGACCTTGTATCCTTTACTTTTTTTATTTAATTTTTTCCAAACACATGCTCTTTATTTTTAGTGTTATAGAAATAATTTCACATTTACAGAAAATATAAGAATAATAAAAAAACCTATATGCTCCTCACGCAGGTTGTTATTATAATAATTATAATAGTTAATTTATTACACTTAATTTATAATAATTAGGTGTAATTGTAATTTAAATTAATTATATTACTTAATAATACTAATTTCTTATTAATGACTATTATAATAAGTTAATTAAATGTTAGCAAATAATAATAATTTTAGGTAATTATATAACCAATTAATTATAATAATATGACTAAAATAATATAATTACATTTATTTCATCATAATTATTATGTCATATATTTATAAATTATTATGTTATATAATTATAAATATATGATTATAATATATTATATATATATTATATATAATAATATAAATATATAATATAATATAATATAATAATATATATAATATAATATAATATAATATAATATAATATAATATAATATAATATAATATAATAAATTATTGTCTACTTATTAATTATTGTCTACTTATTAATATAAATTATTGTCTTCTTATTAATTTTACAGGGAGAAATTATAATTACCACCTAACCTAAACAATTCCTGTTGGTGCTTAAGAGTCCGGGTGGATGGGAAGAGAAAAGGCAGTGGGGATCAGGGAAAAGGAGTAAGAATACCAGGGTAGGATGATAGAATAGGAGGGAAGACTGAAAAGTACTTCATAACTCTGGAGTGAGCTGGTGAATGTTTTACATTTCCTCTCCCTTCCCCCTATACCAGAATCTTCAATCAGTAGACTGAACAGAGAACAAATATCTAAAGTTTTTTGTTGTTTCTAAAGTGTAAGCATTGCCATACCATTTTTCAGTGTTCAAGATATTTACGAATTTTCCTTCACTGTCATGGTCTTACTTATTTGTGAAATATAAACAACCAAAGAGAACAAACCGGCCAAACAGCAGAGTATTCCTAGGCTCCTTGAATAGGAGACCAGGAGACCGGTTACCACACAGAATGGAGGAGGGGCGCATGGAGGCAGGAGGACACAGGGAGGTGGTGCTGAGCTTTGGTGCAGGATGGGTGAGGCATGTACAACTTGTGAAACTACACCCAAAATTATATTCAGGTGACCAGAGGCAAATCAATAATTTTTTTTTTTTTTAAAAAAAGGAAAAGCGCAGCGCATACTCCTGGGACTCAGGGCAGGGGGCTCAGCAGCACTCGATGTCAGACCCTCAGGATCCAGCTGCTGGAAACACATAAAGGAAGGAGACTTCAGAAGAGGGTCTCCTACACGCAGTATAATTCAGGGAAATCAGACAAAAATAAATGAGCTTCCACTAATGCTCCTTTTAGAAACATTTGGTCTTGGGTCCCCTGACCCAGGGGAAGGACCTGCAGCTGAGCTGAGCAGAGACTTTTGTGGGTCTGTCAGGGAAAAAAGGTGTCAGCCCTTTGCCACTCTGTTACAGAAAGTATCAGTGGCCTTCACTAATGTTTTCAAAATTAGGAATTTATAGATTCAGATTCTGGAAAAGAACAAAGAGGAGAAGGAGAGTGTGTATTTCTATGCAGAAAGTCGCACATAGCTTAAGAAATTGTCCCTTAGAGTTCCAGAACGTCAGTTTCCTTATTTTAAAAAAATGAATAAGATAAAAAAATATCTCTGAGCATGGGTGGAGATGGGGTGTTTGACACAATAGACTAGTTTCTGTTTATCTTCCCTCCCATTAGATGTCATTCCGACATGCTGTGTGTGATGCTATCTTTTCAGAGAATCCCTTCCTTTAAATGACACAACAACGTCCTGAGAAATTTGATGACAGGCCTGAAACCACACAGGCAACCAGGATCGAACCCCAACCTTCCCACCCACTCGGTGAGTGGGTGGTGTTTGCTGTTCTCCATCTGGTGGACCTTGGGTCAGCTCTTGAGGCAACAGACTTGCACCATTAACTACAGGGCAAAGTCAACAGACGCCCTCACATTTTGCTCCATTTCCTGCACATTTCCCGTAGGCTTGCCTGGAATCCAATGCCCTCAGGGAGGAAGGTGCTTTCACCCTAGTCAGGGTCACTGGCCTGGGCACTAGACACTCCTGGGTGGTCGGGGAAAGTCTGTCATCACACGCAGTTGCTGGAGCTGCTGAGTGGACTCTGTCCCTGGCTGTGTGACTTCAGGCATAGGTACAGTTGACCCCTCTGCCAGCCACTTAATTCATCCACAAAAGCAGAGACACTGTGTCTATTTTATAGGACTAAATGAGAGGGAGAATCAGAGACACTCATGTGTTGGTTGGGCAGCCAGCAGCAAGGGAGTTTATATTTACTGGGACAGCAGAGGGCAGGCTAAAGCTGTGAATGAATGTGGGGGAGGCCCTGGGGGAGCAGAGTAATGTGACAAGATGGGAATGGACAGCCCAGTGGCAGAGTGAACATTTCAGGGTCCATGGTAAGATATCATAAATGCAATGCAGCACCTGTCGTGGGCCCTTAGGGGAAAGGAACAGAAAAAACTGAAGTTCCCTGCTCTCCACTTTGTCATTGGAAGGGTGGAGAGGGAAGTGGCGCCATTTTGTCGTGCGTCCTCTAAACAAAATCCTTATTTGAGCCATTATAAGAGCAGACAATGTCCAATGTAGGCTGAAAATAAGAGGATGAGTTAAAATGGCCGGACAGTCTGAGACACGCAAACAAATAACCACAAAATACAATTAATAAGACTGTGCCACAAAAGAGTCCAGGAAAAGGTGAGGCTTTTCAGTGGAAACACGGGGAAGGATTTTTGAAGAGGAGGCGGTTTGATGTGGGTTATGGAATAGCATTTAGACATATTATGGAGGGCAGAAGAGGACGTTCAGATAGGGAGAAGCATGAGGTGGCCCAGGGATAAATGACAAACTTCTCAGATGAGATGTAGCATCTGAAATGGCTGGGAGTGTTGTATGTACAGCAGCCTTGGCTGCTGTCACATTGGATTCTGGCCTTTCTAATGGAGTGTGGTGTCAGGTCAGTGCTGCTTTAAGTTTTAGTTTCTTGATGACACAATGTGGAGAGCCTTTCGATGTGCTTATTTGCCATCTGTCTCTCTCTCTGGTGATCTCAAGTTATTTTTTACCTCATATTCATGGAGTTGCTCATATCCTTATTCTTGATTTTTGAGAGTTCTTTATTTTCTATGCAGTCCTTTACCATACGTGCCTTTTGTAAACACGTTTTCCTAGTCTGTGGCTTATCAGTCAGCCCCTCAAGGCAAATATTTTATATCTTTACCATAAAGAAAGGAATTAAGCCTGGATACAATTTAGTCTATGTCTTAGTGATGTAAATACACATAATTAATGGTCATACATGCACTAGATGCATATTTTGAAAAAGTAAAAGAGCATGGAATTTAGAGTCAACACTGGTGGGACAGAATCATGTCTTCATCATTTTGTCCTTATCTGTCATACTCCATATGGATTCACAAGGAAGATCTTTTAACAATTTCTTATTATGTACAGTTTAAATGTTATATTTTCCCTTCAGGTTATACCAAGAGGATTTTCCCAAGTCAATAAATATTCTTCAAAAAGATTATTTTCAAAGGTCACATGATATTCTATGTTACATATTTGATAATCCATATGTATTATGGTATGTAATATATTTACCTTTCCTTCTTTTTTTCCCTTTGTCCATGTGTACCTTCCAATTACTTGTTTCTATAAAAATACTACGGTAAACATCTTTTTAAATTGTAAATTCTTTGAGAATCAATGTATTAGTTGACAAAAAATTTTATAACATTAGCTTTTTGTACTAGACATTCCATTTTAAAAAGAAAAGATTCAGGTTTTATCAGGTGTTTGATGTATGTATTTTGTTAATTTATTTTGAAAAAATAGGCTTTATTTTTCAGAGTACTTATAGGGTAAGGCACACTTGAATGGAAGGTATAGAGAGTTGCAATTAACTCCTTGCTTATTCTCCACTCTCTCACCCTCCTGTACTGTAAATTCACATCAGGTAGAACATTTGGCATCATTAATGAAGCCACATCAACTCCTCACTATCACCCAAAGTCCATAGTTTATATTAGTGTCCACTTCTTGGGTTTGGACAAATGTATAAGGACATGTCTCCACCAAAGAATAGTTTCACCACTGTAACAGTCCTCTGTACTCTGCCTGTGCCTCCTTCTCTCCCCTCAATTCCCTGGCAACCACTGATCTTCTCTTACTATTTCTATAACTTTGCCTTTTCTAGAATATCATAGAGTTGGGATCTTCAGCTTGCAGCCTTTCATATTGGAAGGAGGGCAGAGCAACAAGGTGCAAAAAAAAAAAATAGACTTCTCATAACTGTACTTCTGCCAGCAGGATGGACCCGCTTGCAGCAACCACACAGCTAGACAAGAAACAGACTTGGCAAAAATTCTGCTCAGACTTCCATCTGCTGACACCCGGCTATACCAAGGCTGCCAGATATCCTGCTCCCAGGTAAGAGGAACCACTGCTACTTCCTGCACCCAAAAATATGACCCAACCTGTCACCCCCTACCTTTCTCTTGCTCATGCAATAAAAGGACTTTACTACTTGGTTGGGGGTGCTGCCCTTTCTGCTTGTAGTTTCTGTTGCTAGTAAACAGCTGCTTTTACCTTTTGGACTGATTCTTTGTTGACCTGTGTTTACTACTCATCTCCCCCCATGCCACACACCCTCCTCCAGACTAACATGTTAACTCCTCCCACTTAGTGATTAAGTTTGGCTTCATCTGACCTTTAGTTTCTCTGTATTCCACCGACAAGTCAACTATCATTATTTGTCTTTCTCCTTCCAAATTATTTCACCTACCATAATTTCTTCCAGTTCCATCCATGTTGCCAAAAATGGCATGAGTTTATCTCTTTTGATCACTGACTACTATTTCTTATGGCTATATATGACATCTTCTTGATCTACTCATCTATTTTGGGGCACTTAAGTTGTCTTCATATTTGGATATTATAAAAAGTGCTGCCATGATATTGAAAGTCGTTTGCACGTTTGTAGGGTTAATGATTGTCAAGCTTTTCCGCCCTCCCGCCATTAGGATTGATGATGGATCTCTGAGGTCCTGAATGCAGGCCGGATGGCGGGCACCTGGAGTGGGGTGTGGGCATTCTGAGAAAATACATTATTAAGGAAATGAATATAATAAAGATTCCAGCAGAACTTCCAGCCCAAGTGCAATGAACACTCCAATGCAGGCATAATCAGCAAGTTTGCTTACTTACAGCTCCTTCCCTTTCAAGATTCATGCCCAGGGTCTCAGCACTCTTATCTGCAAGGTCGGACAGCAGCCAAGCTGGTCTCTATCCAAGGCCATCCATGAATGCCTGCATCATTTCCCCCTTGTATTGCCCCCCTTGTCTGGGGACTTTGCTGCAAATGGTTGTGCCTGCTGAAAAACGATGTTATCAATGTAACAGATATGGACACAGTTGTGTATAAAAGGAACTCTTGGTCTTTAAACGGGTGCTCAGACCTTACAGGGCTACCCACGTCTGGGACCTCATGCCTGAGTAATAAAGCTTCCCTGATCTCACCATTCCTGAAGTACTTCTTGTTCCTCCTCTGCCTGGGTAAAAGCTAGAATTTATTTCTATAACAGGCAGACATGGGTGGGTACACCAGGGCTGAGACGGAGCTTCTAAGGGTGGTGTCGCAGAATGGAACAGAACCAGAAGGAGAACAGGCGAGAGAGCAGAATAAAAGAGAAGCAGAAAAGAGAGAACAAGACCACAAGAGAACCCAGGAGAGTCCAGGAAGAGTGAGGATTTGCCGGGGCCTGGGAGGCGTGCCAGCCTTCTGGCCCCCCAGTACCCCTGCCTGCCGTGTACCTGGTAAATGACAATAAAAGCCTGAAAAGCCACCAAGGGCACCAAGACTCTCCATTACCCATCTGCACAGGGATTATAGAGATCCTGCACCATGCCTTCCTGCCATTACAACATTGTCCTCAGTATTGCATTGTTGCCATATGTAGTGACCTTGTAAATAACTTTGAGAAAGTTCCACGGAGATGACAGGGATGCTTAGGGTTTTTTCTTCCTCCTTTATTAGATTCTGCTCTGATCTGCTATATAAATTTTTGTAATTACATGAAACATGGCCTACGCTCCCATACACCTCCCAAATGCAAACAAGCAGGTCAACAACCCCAGTGTTGTAATGCTTGGACAGCACAACAGAGAGTCATTTGTCCTTTTGGAATAGGGCAAATAGTGTACGAGGGCAGAGATCCAATCAGGGCCCCAGAGCACTGAAGCAGAGGATATAAGAGGATGGAGATAGTTAAAATCAGCATCTAGATTGGCTCCCAGTTTTGGGGGGAACGTTTTTCTCAGTGCCTAGAAGGAGACTGTAAAGTCATGAGATTATTACCGTCTTTTCCTCTGCTCCAGGCTGCTATCAAGTTTGAGCCAGGAGTCCTTCTCACAGGAAATTGGCTGCGATGATGAGGATGTATTTAAGGCTGTGGATGCTGCGCTGAAGGAATATAATGATGAAAACCAAAGTGGCAACCAGTTTGTATTGTACCGTATAAGTAATATCATCAAGATGGTGAGTATGCTATGAAACCTTGACAGAATTTGGAATATGCTTTCACTTGGAGCCCAGGCACCCTTCCCTCTCCCTCCCCCACCACCACAAACCAGCAAAGTACTGATAACTTAAATATATATAATTTTTATTTGTCAATTATACCTTGATAAAGGGGCAGGGGAGATGGAGTTAGATTCTAAGCCATTAGTATCTACCTTGAAGCTATTGGCTTGAATGTGTCAAGAGTAACAGCTCTATTCTGAGTGGTTTGTAATATTTTTAGTCACTGATTGATATAGGCAGGACAAACTCTGACAATATATTTGATTTCAGAAATGTTCTAGTGTAGGTGGGAGGAAGGGTGTGTGTGGGGGGTGTGTGTGGTGTGTGTGTGTGTGTGTGTGTGTGTGTGTGTGAAAGAATTCACCAGAGACTGTAGAATGTAGAAATGTAGAAATGTATGTAGAAAATGGAACAGCCAGATTTATTGAACTACACTGCTAAGAGAAGCTGTGGGCGAGACAGAAGGGGTCTGGTACACAGAGTGAGGGTCTCAAGGCTCTGTGTATACTCCTGGCATCATTGCCTGGCTACAATGACTAGTCTTGGGTGTGACCTGATTGATGATCCAAATTGGCATAGGAGAGCATAAGCTCTTTGGATCATCACCTTAATGTCCAGGTTCCCATGGCAGTTTTATGGGCTCCCTCTAGCCATTCAAGCCTCCCAGACTTGCCTGCTGGCAAATGGGAGCTTGGGATTTAAATTAGCAATTATACCATGACAAGAAATACAACTCTCTAAATAGTTTGTTTAAATGAATTTCACTGTAAAACACTGTGTCTCTGTGATAGCTGTTCAATTGTTTACTTTGGTGAAAAATAAAATCAGTCATTTGACATGAGGATTAAGACAAAAGCCCAAGAGAACGTTTTTTTCTGAAAATGAAATGGAGTCATGTGGTTCCATAATCTAGAGTCATCAGGCAGGAGTTCTGCTCCGGGTCTGTCCAGTGTGTTGGTGGCGTCTTCATTGGCTGGCATAGCAGATGTCAACTTTCATTCAAAACTGTCTGTAGAATCACTTGTTATCTCTCCTTTCCAGTGTGACCACCTCCCACACTGCTACCACTTTCCTGTTTTATTAAAATCTGAGACCTGGAGTGGACTAGAGAGGACTGTCTGACTCCAGCCCCTCCAGGTGCTAAGGTTATGACCCACCAGGCTCTGAGGGAATGGCCCCTGGGTGTCAGGAGCCCAGGACCCTCGGCATCTGCTTCTCCTGGTGGCAAGGCTGCCTCCTCTGCCAGAATGCTGGCCTCCTGGCTC